CCAAATTCGCTCCTTTTTACATCTTTTTGCTCCAATGACCCTAATTCATCATTCATGCAGCAATTTCTTTAAAATACATTTCTTTAAAGTGAAATATCATTAAAAACAGTATAAAATAAGTATGAAAATCTCAATATTTTTTTTTGTCAAAAGCCCCCAAACTTAACTATTACTTGTCCTTAAGTAATTTTAGTACTACATAAAAGTTATGATATATTGTAGTAAAGTTTTAATTCAGAAATACTATAAGTTTGATTTAGATAAATATCATAATGAGATTTAGAAAAAATTCAAGTAATTAAATTAACTTTGTAGCCACAAGATTATCTAGTCATCAAGTTTAAGAGTTGTAGTCTTCTATTCATTTCAAGAATGACTATATGTTGCAATATTAAGTTACTTATAATATTCAAAGGAAAGGAACTTCATGGGAACACTACTAGTAAAAGATCTAATCCATAAATACAAGTTTAAGAATGTATTTAGGTTTTCCCTTTAGGTAGATCCAGTGAAGCCAATTTTTGATTAGGCATATCCTCAAGCTTCTCTTCACTTCCATAATTTTTTTTCTTTCTTTTCTCTTTTTCATTTAGATTGCTTTTAATCTTATATATTTTTCTTTTCTTTTTAGTGATTGTTTTCAATCCTTTCTTTTTGTTTTTTCAAGTATGAATTACTATATTTGGATAGCCTTTAATGATTTTGAACATCACCTTTCTTTCCCTTACCTTATAAATATTTCATAGTTTTTACATCATTGAGACCCAATTTTTTATTCTCAAATGAATTTTTCAGATTCTTAATTATTCAAAATATAGTTTCCTTTACTTTAAATAGTTAACTATAGTTTTACTCTCTTATACTAAAATATCTTAAGTTACAAAATTAACTTTTATTACAAAAATATTTCTTTAAATCTACCATAATATTTAAATAGCTACAAAATATAGTTACCTGAATGAAATTCACTACATAAAATCATATAAATAATTTTTGAAAATAATTAAATAGAGGACATCTAATAGTTAATATTTTTCTTCCCTCCCCCGAACTTAAATTCTTTTCAATATAAAATAATACAGGCGGAAAGAAAAATTCTAAATATAAATCATACCTTAGTATTTTAGGCATTTTCATCATTCTGAAATTTTTTTAGTCATTCTCAAAATTTTTACTTCACATGGTCTATAACATTAGGAGTTTTCTATACATATAAATCATTAGAAAATTTTTTGGGTAATGAATTTTTGAAATAAGTATAAACTAAAATATTAAATAAGCGCAATATTTCCTAACACAACCACAATACTAAACAAAACAATTACAATTAAAATGTGAAATAAAAATAACATTACATTACAAAATACTGCTCAATATCTATTATACTACACATGCAGATTTAACTACCACACTAACTTTATAACAAAAATTAAAAATCATCCAAGTACAACATAATAATAAAAATAAAAGTCTAAATACACATAAACATCCATTTCTATTACAAAAGATCACAGAAATAAAAGTACAAACACAAGTAAATCAATTCTATCAAATATCAAAATCCCAAACTATGTCTTCATCTCCTTGATCAGCAGGTGGATCGGGCTGATATTGAGTATATCGGGGGCACTCAGGAAAAGTAACATCAGGCTCATCTCTGTAGTGTCGGGCCCGAGCTTCATAACAAGTTTTCTCAAAATTTGAATGCCTTTGAAGGTATTCACTATCGTAATCATGTCGATGTTCTAAACCTCAAAGCCTTTCATTTATTAATTCTATGCTCTTCCGCTGCAAGGTCAACTCATTCATCAAATCAGCCAGAGTAGGGGAACTAGAAGGTGGAAGGTCATAACTTGTAGATGGGACATCTCTACTAGTAGAAGGTTCTTGACTCCTACTTCCAGTTCTCCATTTCTCACGGGATTCATAAGTTTTCAACTTGGCTTTACTAATGGGTTTTGTAGGGTGAACCCATTCCTCATCTTCTCCAGCTTTCACTCCAGAAAGTTGGCAAAGTGCATAAATAAGGTCAGGATGTCCTAGACCTCCACTTGTTTCACTACTTGTCGTGTCGTAGTCAATAATATATTCTTAAAAATAATTCTCCCCACATTTATAGTTCTATTATTCTTAATTCAAAAATTTAGAATAGTTCTATCTCTAGTTAACTCACTATGGTTATAAGTCGGTAACAGAGTAGAAGAAATAAAATAGTGTCACGCCTTAGAGGAGGCCTTCAGCATGGAAGCAGAAAAATTTACCCGTT